CTTCTGTGCATTAGGTCCTTTGATCCCAAAGACCCCGGTGAGAAATGCAGAGAAGGGCATTTCCAATGACCACTTTACATTTGGGGAAAGTGAGTCCTAGAAATGCAAGGACCTTGAGCTAATAACAGAATTCAGGGCAGGCTTCTGGGTGTTAGTGCTTGCAAACATCCCCCACCAAACACACACACACACACACCCTCCAAGTGCACCACTGTGTTCACCTGGGGCAGTCTGGAGAAAGGAACCACATACAAAACACAAAGGCACCCAGTTGGTGGGTCTGGGAAATTGTCCCCTCCAGGAAAGCAGCTTCCTCTGGAATTTCAGACAGTGTGGTAAGTAATCGCTTTTGAAAATCAAACCCTGCTTTTTAACATCAATTGGCAAGTTGTCTCTACCAATGCATTTCCAGCTTGTCCCGAGAGCGCTGGGCGGGAGAGTTCTGTTCTGCCATGGGGTAGATTTGAGGTTGCACTTCTTCCCAGCCCCACAGCCAGAGCATGGGGCCCGCCCAGCCCCACTGCGCAAAGGCTCAGGACACACTTGTGCTTGCACACTGCAGCTACCCAAATGGACCTGAGCAGAGCATGGGCAGCAGGAAGTCCACCGAATGCTCTCCCCACTCCCAGACCGCACCCCAGGACCCCTCAGCTGCTGTGGGCGCAGTCATTGGGCTTGGGACCATCTCTCACCGCCCTGCAAGTCCATGGTCCCCACATGCATAAAATAATATGGTGGTGATTACAGCAACAGCTACCTTTTGTGAGCCCTTCAGCAGCCCCACCTTGGCTCACTTGCACAAATCTCAAAGACCTGTGGCAGTCCTCATCCCTATAACCCCCAGGAGGGGGTGGGGGCCAGAGGCGAAAGCCCTCTGGGGAGAGAGCTACTGGGAGCCAGCCCCAGCGAGAAGCGCACTCATCCCCATGCACGCTCCCAAGCCATACCAGGCCTAATTTGGGGTGCTTGGAGAGAATCCAGGTTTCTGCCAAGCTGGTGTCTGGGTGAGCTGCGCTATTAGTATGAGTCCTTTGGTGAGCCACCGTGGGTTCTAGGGACCCAGCGTTTGCAGAGAGGGGTTACAGAGAGGGACTGGATCCCCAGTACCCCTGTCTGACCTGGGGATGGGGTTCGCATGGCTGGGAGGAAGGGGCTCAAAGGACTGGGCTCCTCTCTCAAGCAACCCGGCTCAACAATGTGACTGCTGTAGCAGGAGGCTGGACCCCGCGGAACTCAGGAATGGGGGACGCACTGAAAGTGCCCCCTCATCAAGCCCCCTCCTCACCCCGGAGGCAGCAAGGGTCTGGGGTAGTCTAGGGTACTGGGTTTGGAGCTTCTGCACCTATCCTGTTCCAGCCCGGCGCCCAATTCCATCCACCCTTCTAGGGAAGGGGCTGCTGGGCGCTCCATGGAGGCTCCTGATGGGACCGGCGCCCTTGTCAATGTCCCCACTGCACCCCATGTTTAGGCTCCCCTCGTCCGGCTTTCACCAGGATCCATGAAACTTCGTGATAGCCGGTGCGGTCGACTCCCACCTGATCTGACCTTTGCCCAGCAGGGCGCTCAACACCAGGCTCA